GAAATAAAATTTACATAAAACCACGTAAAAATAATATGTTTGTCAGCTTTATTCAGTTAAACATATTAAAAATGATTCGAAAAAATGGAGTTAAAGAAAAAACTATTTGACTTTTGAAATAGTAATAGGACACTCATTTTGGAACGAAGAGACGGAATAAATATATATATATGGAATACATGATCTATAGCGCAAATTACGTTTCAGCAATTGGATGTTTGTTTACCATTTATTTCGTCCTGAGAAGTCAACTAAAAAAATGTTAGAGTAATATCAAGTCTGTTATTAGAGGCTAAGCAATGCTGGAGAATTGCTAACGCTAAATGGAACATATGGGAGCTCAATCAGATTTTTGTTGGCATTTAGAAGCAGCTGAGAAAATTGATAAAGCTGGGAGTCTTCCTTCTTTTCATCTTATCCGTCTCTTAATTTTTCTAAGTTAATCCAGGACAACTACCCGAGACAAGGCCAAAGCGGAAAAAGCAGATAGCAGGAATAGATCAAGATGAATTACAAGATCCAACTCTTCTAGCAGATCCTGATAGTTGCTTTTGCGAGTTTAAAGGAGTACAGATACACCACAAGATATATGATTCAGAATCACTTGCTACAAACTTGTCAGAAGAAGGGGATAGTTCTCGATCTCCTAATGCTAATAAAAGAGTGAACATTCCCATGATATTGTTACATGGATTTGGTGCCTCTATTTATTCATGGAATCGAGTTATGAAGCCATTGGCACAAGTCACAGGATCAAAAGTTTTGGCCTTTGACAGACCAGCCTTTGGGTTGACTTCAAGGCTGAATCATGTCAACCATTCATCTCAGGGAAGTGAAGACACCAGACCCTTTAATCCTTACTCTATGGTATTCTCCGTGCTGGCCACTCTATACTTCATTGACTTATTAGCAGCTGAGAAGGCAATTCTAGTGGGGTAAGTTCTATTTTATAGTTTTTTCCCCCACAATCTCCGTCATGAACATGTTATGGATGTGACTTTATTTAGCATAATTGCAGTGAAAACTGAATTACACTAGCTCAGTTGCCAAAATAATGGTCCATCTGCTACACCACAAATGAAAGAAGTATAAAAGGAAGGAAAGGCGAAAATGATGTTTGTGGAAAATCAGATGTGTGTTCCTAAATGAATGACTGGCCTACTCTCCGATGAACTTTTACATGATTAGAAGTTAATAATTATTATTCTCAATCATTATCTTCATTGCCCTCCCCCTCCCATCTGTCTGTGCAACTATTAGAAAGTGTATTTACTTACATGATTTCCATTGAGAGGATAATGTACTTCAAATTGTCATTTTGGTTGCATTATCGCCCTCCTTCCTTTGCTCTTCCTATTTCATTCTCAAAGATTTGATTCTTATTGGTAACTAATGAGACACCAGACACTCAGCTGGTTCCCTTGTAGCAGTTGAAGCATATTTTGAAGCACCTAAGCGGGTTGCTGCCATTATACTTGTTGCGCCAGCAATTCTAGCACCCCTGAATTCAGGCCCTGTAGCTAAGGACAATCCAAGTGGAAAAAGTAACCAGACTAAAGGCGATGACTTGGAAGTGAACTCTAAAGGGAATTGGTTTACCACGGTTGTCAGCATTTTGTCAAAGTTATCCCAATATCTTGGACAAGCAATAGTGCGATTGGTGAAAGGGATGGGAGACATGATAAATTCTTTATATAAGAAAACTTTATCTGCGTTCTTGCGTTCTACCATTGGTATTATGCTGGTATGTACTCTATTTTGGATCTTCTAATCTATTTGTTGAACCTAAATTTTATTTCTCAAAATTGACATCTTGAAGCTTTGTGAAAGCAAACTTAGGTCTATATACTTCATTTTTCCAATTTCGAAAAAGGTTTTTAAATGAGAAATCCTCCCTGCCATTTTGAAGGAAGATGGCAGTCAAACAAGTAGGAGATGCTAATTCATTTTTCACTAATAATACTATGGCAAAGGGCCAAATATATCCCTCTACTTTCGAAAATGGTCTAAGAATATCCCTCGTTATACTATTGGGTTATCTATACCCTGCAGTCATACTTTCGGTTCAATTATACCCCTCATTTAAACGGAGGAACACGTGTCATCGTCATGTTGGTCAATTCTAAATATCTCCTAATTAATTAAAAAGACCCATTACCCATACCCGAAAAATAATTTTTTAAAGCAATTTTTTTTTTTGTAAAAACTGGGAAAACTGAAATTATTTTTACTAAAAACTAAAAAAAAACGAAAATATTTTTTTTATCAGTTTTTACAAAAAAACTGCTTTAGAAAAAACTGAAAAATATTTTCTAAAACAATGTTTTTGTAAAAACTGAAAATCAATTTTCTAAATCAATTTTTTTTGTAAAAACTGGAAAAAACTGATTTGTTTTTACTAAAAACTAAAAAAAACGAAAATATTTTTTTTCCAGTTTTTACAAAAAAACTGTTTTAAAAAAAGCTGAAAAATATTTTCTAAAACAATATTTTTATAAAAACTGAAAAAAAAGAAGCAATTTTCTAAAGCAATGTTTTTTTAAAAACTGAAAAAACAAATATTTTCTTTTTTTTCAGTTTTTAGTTAAAAATATTTCAGTTTTTTCCAGTTTTTAATTGTATTAGAAAATTGTTTTTTAGTTTTGTTTTTCATTTTTACAAAAATATTGTTTTAGAAAATATTTTTCAGTTTTTTTAAAGCAGTTTTTTTGTAAAAACTGGAAAAAAAAAATATTTTCGTTTTTTTTCAGTTTTTAGTAAAAAAGTTTTTTTAGTTTTTTCCAGTTTTTACAAAAAATAAAATTATTTTTCGGGTATGGGTAATGAGTCTTTTTAATTAATTAGGAGATATTTAGAATTGACCAACAAGACGATGACACGTGTCCCTCCGTTTAAATGAGGGGTATAATTGAACAGAAAGTATTACTGCAGGGTATAGATAACCCAATAGTATAACGAGGGATATTCGTAGACCATTTTCGAAAGTAGAGGGGTATATTTGGCCCTTTGCGGATAATACTAACAAAAAACAGAATAATAAAAAAGTAGTAAAATTAGAACTTCCCACCTCTCACACCCGCCCTAAATAAAAATATTATTTAAAGTACTTACTTTTCATGTTATAGATAGAGTATTTTGTTTTTCATTTCAACAAAATGAATATTTTTAGAAAAAAAATATTTTCTTTTATTTCAACAAAATAAGTACTCTCTTTTCATGATATAGAAAAAGTATTTTCTTTTTCACAAAATGAGTACTTTCTTTTCATGTTGTAAAAAAAGTATTTTCTTTTATTTTAACAAAAAAGTACTTTCTTTTCATATTGTATATTTTGAATAAAGTTAATGTGGCCAATAGGTCATGAGATCAGTTAAAGTGTTTAAGTGAAATATATGGGCAAGTTTATGGGGCTGCATGTGTATTCAGCCTTACTCCTTTATCTTTCTGACATTTCATTTGATGATAAATTTGAGATATTTATGTTATCAGAATAGATGGAAGAAGTCTTAGCAGTTCTTATTAGTCATATGCAATAATGAGAAAATACTTGATCAGCACTCTATAAAACTTGATTGAAATGGATACTCAAAATGACTATTGACTGCCATTTTCTTTCAGGTAAGAATGATAATTGATAAGTTTGGCTTAGCTGCTGTTAGGAATGCTTGGTACGATCCTAAACAAGTTGATGATCATGTCTTGCAAGGGTATACAAAGGTGATTCCTTGACAGCTAGTTGTTTCCAACCTGAGTGAGGATGGGCTCGATTTTTTTCCTTTTGCTGTATTCTGCTGTATTCAGTTCAGGTACGGGACCTGGCTTCGTAGTGCATTGTTGTCATCTTGACTCTTTAACATTTGCAGCCTCTCAGAGTAAAAGATTGGGATAAGGCTCTGGTGGAGTATACAGTGGCTATGCTTACAGATTCTGCATCTGAATCAAAGCCACCGCTGTCAAAGAGATTGGGCGAAATCTCATGTCCTGGTTAGAAAATCATCTATTGCCAGCAAATTGAATTTGATAACTAAAAGGAAACATTAGATTTCTAAATAATTAATTGAAGAAGTAAGAAAGATTTCAAGTTATTATGAAGTATTCAAAAAGATTTTGCCATATGACCAACATCTCTTGACTACCAACTAACCTTGATTGCACCATTTCTCTCTAGGCTACACCTCAACTGATACTGAAAAAGTGCTTGTCATATGAGCCTTTGTTCCATCATGTTCTTTTTACATTCTTAGATGTGGTATAACACCATGTTCTAAGAAACATATTGTCCTAAGCTTGCTTACATTATAAACAACAAATTCCAGCACAGTGAATACACAAAAACTTCATAATACTGATTTTTCTCTTTTATTTGCAAATTGAGGTTCAGTTCTGATTGTCACTGGTGATAGTGATCGCCTTGTTCCACCATGGAATTCTGATAGACTTTCACGGGCCATTCCTGGATCTTGTCTTGAAATAATCAAGAATTGTGGCCACTTGCCCCATGAAGAAAAGGTAGAAGAATTTGTATCCATTGTTGACAGATTCCTTGAAAGAGTTTTTGGGGTGCAAAAAGAGCCCCATCTGCAACCAGCTACTTGAGATTGATATTTTGTCTAGTTCAACTTGGCCAGGATTGACACCTATTGGTGACTGGTGAACATTAAGTTTGAGAGAAGAGTTGCCTACTCTAGTTCATATATAGGAATATATTATACCTCTTTATCAATATTTTCAATCCTATAAACACCTATCATTTCATCCTATATGAAAGGTAGGTAGCTGCTATTTTGTGCAAGTAAACATCGATTTCTTTGATCACCCTTGAGACTAGGACAAAGTTGTATAATGTAATACAATACATGTATATTGAGACTTGTAAAATTTTACTTCAGTTTATTCCGTAGTAGCTGAAACCTCTGCAGTTTTACAAGAAGCCCATGATTTGCAGCTACAAACTGAAACTTCTTTGCAGATTTTTGCGATAGTAGCAGTGCGGAAAGCATATTAATTTTACAATATCTCATTGTATGCATCATAAGACAATAGTTGATATTCCACCTTCAGAAAGGGGGATCAAGAGATATGGTGAGAGAGGGATCCTGTAAACCACGAGGAATATCAAAACCAGACATGAAATCTTCTCCAAATATCACAGCACCGGCTGCTAATGCTCCAGCACCTACTCCCATTCCAAAACCAGGTCTTGCATTTCGTGCTGCTGCTGATCCAGTTTGTGGCATGTTGAAATAACTAGGCGGCGTGTTGTCTGTTCTTGGGAGGAAAGTTGGAATGTAACCAACATTAGCAGGTGGAGGTGGTGGTGGTGGAGCACGATGTGGCTGATAGCTCGGTCCTGCTGTTGGTGCGTAGCTCGTTCCCCCCACCGATGGGTGGGAATAATTTGTAGGATATGTTACTGGGCGTGCATATTGGTGATTCGACTGTGGTTGGTTTCCCTGCAGTTTAGACGGGGTCAAGGATTGTGGCTGTTGGTATGCTGGTGCAGGTTTATATCCATTAGCCAAGTTGAAGCCACTGCAGTTATCTGCAAGCTTAAATCCCTCATTGTCACCTAGTAAACCAGATTTCATCAAAATTAACTCTTCAGTTTAAGACTCATAAGAGTATGGTTCTTGGTCCAAAGCATTACTTGAATCAAGGGTCTTTTCTCATTGATTCTAAGGGAGCAAAAACAATCTATTCAATGTAAAAAGCTTGTTAAATATTTATACCTGGGAGTGAACTTGGTTCTTCCCTTTCCTCTGAAATTCGTATCGATACATCAACAAATCCCTGAGGTTTATTCGAGTTCTTTCTCCGCAATTGAAAGCTGCCCACCTCTTCAATCGGCTTTGAAACTTCAGAGTTGTTATTGTACTTGTCCAGAAATTCTTTCAAAATCACAGTAGCTGTTCCCAGGAGCTTTTCTCTTAGAAAAATGGGCTCTCTACTGTAAACTTCAACATGGAGGGCATCTAATTCAGAAGTGTCAACCAACATTGAGAATTTGGTTTTCCAAACAGGATTTGCATTGCCTGAAGAATCAATCTTAGAACAGTACTTGTTGTTTGGATCAATCCATCCAACAGCATACCATTGCAGCTTCCACAAAGATGATGTTCTTCGGATTCCCCTGGCGGAAATCAGGCAGACTTCAATCCATATTTTCCCCATTTCAAGAAAAGCTTTCTCCTTGATTGATACAAATGGTGACAGAATATGTGCTCCTCAAAGGTTCTTTTCTTGATTAAAAAAAAAGGTGTACTGTTTTGCATCATAAGAAGGCTAGATTACTTTATGCTAAGAAATTACTTTACATTGTTTTGAGTTCTGTTAAAGACTAATCTAGGCAGCTTTTCCCCGTATTGTGACTCACTAGTCTATCAGAGGGGGACAGGAATCAGAATGTTAGTCAAAAGTTTGCAACATAACAGCGTTGAAAAATGAACTCAAGGGTCCACAAGAAAGTAATTTATCCACCAGTTTTATGGTTGTACTACAATTACAACAATATTTGAGTCTTTTAGGGGTATAAACAAATTCTTACATGAAAAAGTAGAAAAGAAACACTCTATTTATAACGAGTTGGATATTCTTAATGGTACTTTGGAAAAACCATGCGAGTTTTGTCCAGAGCGAATAATATCAGACCATCTTAAGAGTATCTTTGGGCCGTTTTAGCTCAACAACGGGTATGAAAGCCAATGATTTAGTGAGACAAGCATAAAGATGGCGGAGTGATGGCGTAGGGCCCGATTTAGTGTCTTTGCCCGTCTATGAGTCAGTTTGCTACCTTTACCCGTAGCTTCAAATACGCATACACAACCTCTCATATGGGGTTCGGTGACCATAAATACTCGGATCATATGTGTGGCATACAGTTAATCTTTAAATTAGCCCATCAATGGTGATGAGTTATGTGGAACTTAGTTCAAGGGGAAGATTGTTAGGTATGTGAACAAAGTCCCACATGGAAAGTAAAAAGGAAAACTGATCTACTTATAAGGAGTTGGATACTCTTAATAGTGTGATTCTTTTTCGGAAAAATCATGCGGGCTTGACTTAAAATGAACAATATAAGACCATGCTAAGAGTATTTGTGGGCCGTTTTAGCCCAACGCCACAGTGTACGTATGATTTTCTTATTTACTGTGAAAATTTACATAGATTCAAAAGGTTTTAGCTTCCAGCTTCTCCACATTTTCTTGTGTCCAACAATGTCTTGCTCCTCTTGACAAGAATATCTTTAATTTAGAAAGTAAAAAGGATCTTTAGGTAACTAATTAAAACCAAAAAGACAAGTGAGATTATTTACAAGTGGTGACATAGGAAACAGCTTGTTCGACGAACTAATAAATCTCTACTTTTTATAAAGAATAATATAGTCATTAGAGGAAAATGCTCTATCCAAAATCACTAGCCCATCCAGAGACCATTTTTTATGTTAGTGAACTAAGGAAAAAGTTTACAACTATGTAATCATTTATGTATCGACATTTACACTAACTGAGGATAAAAAAGGATTTTGTTTCCACCGAGCTATAACAATATGTTGATTTTCTTCACTTACACCTTACACCTCAATTGAGTCTAACGAGGTTCAGGTGCGGAGCCTTCCGCTCGAGACTACGCAAAGGTAAAATATCATGGAAACTTCGCTGACTTTATCATCAACTTTGATTTCGCTATGCTTAATAAGAACCCGGAATAGCGGAAATAGGTTGCTTCCAAAGGAAGAAAGAAGAGGAAAAATAAGAGGAGTGTGCTGATGCTAAAGCATATAAGCCAATGTCAGCCTTGTTTCAATCTCTCAACAAGAATGTGCACTCCTTGGCCTGGTTCTACAATCATCCTATAAGCTGGCGAGTGTTTGTATTTTGGAGAAAGAGAGAAACGAAACTTGGAAATGATGAGTGAAATCACAATCTTGAGTTGCACCATCGCGAAGTTTTTGCCTAAGCAGAGCCGAGGACCAAGTCCAAATGGGATATAAACTTGAGGCAATTTGCAAGCACCTGAAACTCCATTCTCAAACCTCTCCGGCTTGAATTCATTGGCGTCTCGTCCCCATATCTCAGGGTCACGATGCAGCGTTGGGATCAAAGTCCATAAGCATACACCTTTTGGCACAACAATATGACCAATCTGTGTATCTTTCAATGCCTCCCTTGACACAAATGCTGCTGGCGGATACAAGCGCATCACTTCTTGAATAACCATTGTCACCTTCATATCAAGTTTCAGTATTAGATGCAAATCAAAATTTTAGAAGAGTCTATCTTCTATGCACTTGTCAGGTCATCTAAAAAGTAAACAAGTGAGACTAGTAACCTAAAATACATCGATATTGTAAAAATTCTTTACGCAGATAGAATGATATAGACGCAACACTTCTTGAATGACCATTGTCACCTTCATATTAAGTTTAATTGTTAGATATAGATCGTTGAAACATAAAAGTAACTAAAAATGCAGTTTCTCTAACCGCTTAAGTTTTTAGACCAGATGGTCACACGGTTCAACACATATTAGTAATTTAGAATGATATGATTGAGTAATGAAGGATAAATGTGATGAGTACCATTTTCATTTTGGAGACTGACTCTGCATCTAGGACGCCATCGGGGCAAATTTGAGCCATTTCATCACGTATACGAGATTGCCATTCTGGATGCAAAGCCAGAAGCATGAGACACCATGATGCAGCAACAGCAGTCGACTCGTGACCTGCAAAATATATGTTCTTGCAATTGTCAACAATGAATTTCCTGGACGAATTCTCGCCTACACTATCATCGTTGATAGCTCCCTCGAGTAATGAATGCAACAAGTCCTTCTCATTTGAGGATGTTTCTAAGCATTCCCTTTCTCTTTCTTTCACTGCTTCCCATATCAATGACTCTATCTCTTTCTCTAAGTTGTCAATCTCCTTTTGCTGCCTACTTGGTAGAAACCTATAGCATAGTCCTCATGTCAATAATGACAAAAATAGATACTCCCCTCCAAATCCCAAATATTTAACGTTTTAGAAAAAACATAAACTCGTTTAAGATAAGCGAAAATCTTAAAAGGCAGATAATATGGACGAGAGGGAGAGAATGTATGTACCCTAATGCTGGAGAACCAAAAAGAACACTTTGGTTTGATATGATTTTCTGAAGGGTTCGAAGCTTTGAGAAAATCTTTTTGCCTTTGAAATAAGAGCTTCCAAAGCAAGCTCTTGAGATCACATCTGCTGAAAAACTTCTCAGATCCTCTCCCACGCTGATTTCCGCCAATTTACTCCCTTCAGCTTCAATGTTTTCATCCCATTTTCTTGTCAAAAGCTCTGCTGATTGCAACATCAGGCTCACCATACCCTGTATATTCATATTTCATAGTATTCAAGTTTCATGTTGTTTCAATCCAACCATTAATTATTCTACATTGGTATTAAGTTTCTATTTATTTTCTTTTTTCATCGATTACCTTGACCTTGTCCATGAAGAATTCAGGCGCGACAATTTTCCTCTGCATAGCCCAAATGTGGCCATTAGACCTCAAAATACCATTGCCAAGCATAGGGGCAAGTCTCTTTGTGACATAAGAAGGCTTCCCTAAATCCAGGCTTATACTTTGGTTCATTTCCTTTACTAGCTCCGGTTGGTTCACATACAAATGTTGTTTGTTTCCTGTTGAATATGTATATATAGGACCTGCAGTTAATCACACCAGCAAAACACTCAAATCAGTTATGCAGATTATTTCAATTTGAAGTAGGCGTTGGTGATATTAGCCTCGCGGCATCTGATAAATGATTTGAATTTTTAACTAACATATGAATAGAAACTTGTCTAACACTAACGGTTAAAATTCACGAAAGAGCTCTTGTCATAACCTAATCTAATGGTACGTACTGTTCTCTTTGGGGTAGCAAACCTCGTGGACTTGTTCCTCGGTTTACGTTATCACTAAGCGCAAAACGCGCATGCAATGTGAATTTTTATTATAAATATTTTATAAAGATCTTTAATTTCTTCTTCCATTCCGACGTTTAAGATATCATGCACACTCCTTTAGAAATTTGTTATTCGTAGAAGTCTGTCAATCCTTTTCTTTGACTCGCAAAGAAAACAGAGAGGGTCATTTTCTTCTAGGAACATGACTCGTTCATTCACTTGCTCGTGAACTCGCAGCTTCGCCGGAAGCGATCGGGGGTGGGTAAGACCAACAACTATACGAGGGGTAGTCTACCCTTCGTCATCAGCATCACAACTCTAATGTAACTATACAAGTACATACTAAAAGTAGTAACAGTGAAGAAGAACATGTTGTTACACTGTTACTGTCCATGTGTTCCCTAAATCTCTAACTCTTAACCCAATAACCAATTGGGCAACTTGTAAATGAGGAAGGTTGTACTCAATCTTACATGTGTCTTTTAACTGTGACCCACCCATCAAGTCAATTGTCCCTTTGAAAAGAAAGTCTGATTTAGCAATATTATAACACCAAAAATAGGAAAGGTCCTCAAATTTTGACCTTACATTAGACAGTTCACCAGACCTACGCATCGACTAGAATTTTTATGGATAAAATTTACGTAACCAAAATGTAACTTTTCATAACAAATCTAATATGCTAATTTGAACATTTGACTAATAAATTGATATGTTTGTTTAAATTATATTGATAATACAAACATGGGTGTTAATTTCTATCCTACATTAGCTACATTGATCATAGAGATCTAGTGACTAGATTTGTCCGTGGATTAAGGATATCACGTGGCCAAATCTGACTTATATTTACCTTTGAATATAATTTATTTTGGTAAAACTTAACAATTTGATGTTAATTTCTATCCTACTTTAGCTACAATTTATTACTCCATTAATCGTAGAGATCTAGTGATTAGATCTGCCCGTGAATTAAGGATATCACGTGGCCAAAATCTGACTTATATTTACTGAATATATTAAAAGTACTGCACTTTGGTCAAAACTTCAGTACAAGCTTCAGTAAATTACTGGAATCCATGTATTGGCTTCCAACCAGTGGATCTAGTTAGAGTTAAAGTTTAATTCTATTTAAATAAGATTTTTTTTAAAATTTCAAATATTTTTAGAAATTAGAATTAAGGAAGACCCCGAAGTTCTTTTTATTTTATTTTATAATTAATACGTAATAGAAATGATAAATGTAGAAGAATGTAAACACAATTTAGGAAAAAAGTAAGACAGGATAAAATATTTGATATGCTACGTTCTTATATTTCTAACAAAATATGGTCCCTTTTTCTTTCCTCCCGTCCAATCCCGACAAATATTTAAATCTCTTTAAAATATTTAATATCGGTGGCAATCATT